CTGAAGTCCTGTCATGACAGTCATACCTAATCACATGTCCCTTTTAAACAATTTTCTCCCTCATGTGTTTCAATGCAGTATACATTATTTATCCCATCTTTCTCAGTTTCCCCCCAATCCCGATGTCAGTCCTATTTTACAACAGTGGCACTATGCAATATTTGTCCTTTTGTGACTGAGATATTTCGCTCAGCATAATGTCATCCAGGGTCACCCATTTTGAATAATATTGCATGAGTTCCTTGTATTTCAATGCAGTACAGTATTACATTGTGTGGATAAACCAGAACTTCTCTATCCTTTCATTTGTTGATGGGCACTTAGGTTGTTTCCAACTCCTTGCTTTTGTGAACAAAGCCACGATAAACATGAGTGTGCATATATCTGTGTGGGTGGCAGTTATGGTCTCTTTGGGGCATATTCCCAGTAGTGGAATTGCTGGGTCAAATGGTATCTCTATTTGCAACTTTTTGAGAAAGCGCCATACCGCCTTCCACAGTGGTTGCACCATTTTGCACTCCCACCAACACTGAATAAGGGTTCTAGTTTCTCCACAACCTCACCAACATTTGTTGCTTGCTGTTCTGTAAAATTTTGCAATTCTAACTGCCATGAGATGATATCTCATAGTTGTTTTGATTTGCATCTCTCTTAGACCTAGGGATTTTGAAGATTTCTTCATGTGCTTGTTGGCCATCTAAATGTTTTCTTTGGTGAAGTGTCTGTTCATATCCTGTGCCCATTTTTCAATTGGATTGTTTATCTTGTTGTGGTGCTCAAGTATTTTATAAATTCTAGATATAAGTCCCTTATCTGACATGTCATTGTCAAATTCTGTGGCTTCCCTTTTTACCCTGTTGGATAAGCTTTTGGATGTGCGTGGCTACAAGTCTTTTGATGTCTTGACTGCTGTTACCGAGGTTGTTGACTGTGGATCCAAGTAAAATGAAACCATTGATAACTTCACTCTTTCTCCATTTGTCACGTTGTAACCAATTGGTCTGGTCATGAGGATTTTTGTTTTCTAGATACCAAGATGTAATCTGTATTGAGAACTATAGCCTTTTTTGATCTACTTTATTCTTTCCTTGTTGTAGGTTCTGACACCAATCTTGAACATTCTCTCTTTTATACTATGGCCAGATGGGGTCATGTTACTCTCTTGCTTCAAATCCTGAGGCCACTGGAGGTAAAATGCAAGCCATTTAGCTAAGTATTCTCATAATCAGACTCTCTGTGGCTGTCTGCTACTGCTAGGTTTCATCTGTACAGTGGGGATAATAAATACCCACTTCATACAATTGTTATAAGACCTCTCAAAAGAGTTTCTTAGCTCTTTGTTTTGTTTTACCTCTTTGTACATTATCCTTGGCCTACTGTTTTAGTTGTCTACTGTTGCTGTAACAGTTCCTTCACTGCACAAAGTTCCATGGATGACACTCAAAAAGGATGGGATCAACATTGTCACGTGCTTTGTCTTTCTGAGCATCAATCTCATTCATAAATTGTCTTAATATTTAAGAAAATTTATTTACTGATTTTTCATAAGGGTAGAATTTCTTTCATGAGGGAGTTCTGGTGGCGAAGTCTGTAGGGAGTTGCATTGCTAACCCAAGGTGGTGATTCTAATCCACCAGCAGCTTCATGGAAGAAAGATAGCAGTCTCTTCTGATGTGATTCATAGCTTTGGAAAACTGCCAGAGGGTTAGTTAAGAGTGAGAATCTGCTCAAAGACAATGAAAAAGGAGAGAGCCTGAGAGAAAGGGGATAGGGAGAAAGAGAAAGAAGGTTGGTTTTATATTTGGCTTAGGAGTTTTAAAAAAATTTACTATTAAATTTGCCAGTGTGTTGTGAATCTCAGTTCCATATAGACCTTAGGAGGGCCTCTCGCTTCTTGCGGAGGGACACACACGTATGAAACATTCAGGGATCTTATGGCTTTCTTTTCATCCCAAGTGGGTGTCAGCAGAGATGAATTGAGAGTTCCTATCCTGCTCCTGCAGAGCAGCTGGTGGATTCAAACACCGTGCCTTTGGGATTGTAGCACAGCTTCTTACCACTAGGCCACCAGAGCTCCCTGGAATTTTGTTATTGTTGTTATGTGCCATCAAGTCCCTTGAGACTCATAGTGAGCCTATGTTCAACAACTCTGAACTATGTTCTATCTTGATCCAACATATAATAAATATAATTTTCTTATAAGTGACTGACCACTCCAGATTACAGCTCATGGCGATTTTTACTTGATTACAAAACTGCTTCTAATCTTGCTCATTAACATAGAACTTAGAACAGAGAAAAATTGTATAACACTGAGACTTTAACCAAGTTGACATATATTGTATTGTTGGCATATACAATTCAGTCTGCCATACTCTTTCCAACTGGCTAATTCCTGCTTGTCTATCAGTCTTTGAGTCAAAGAACCCCTCCATGAATCCTCATGCTCAGATGGATATCACTGCTCTGTGCTCCAGCTGCCCATTCATTCATACCCCACTGGTAGCACTTTTTATGTAGAGAGTAATGGCTGTCCATCCAGTCTCTAGGGTCTCCCTCACAAGTGCTCGATTAATATTGGAAAAATAGGCTCTGCTAGGTGACACTTGGCAAGTCATTGGCCCTCCTTCCATCTTCAATGTCTCTCAAGGGTCTGGTATTTCAACCAAGTGAATTACCCTCCCCCTTCAAAATTATAAGCTTCTAAAAAGAAAAAATGATAAGTTTCTGGGAAAAGGAGAAACAGCAAATTAGTTTTGGAAGCTGGAAGAATATCTTGTAAGATAAGATGTTACTTACTTTTACTCTTCTTTGCTCTCCTTTGTTTTTAGAGATCATTTTCTTCTGAAGTCACTGAGAAAGACCTTGCTCTTCCCCAACCCAGCTGGAGCAAGGACATTAGACTCCTTTTCGACCAGTACATGAAGAAATGTGAAGATGGCTCCTGGGAACGTTTGCCTTCATATAGCAACAGTAATTCATCTATGCATAAGCAGTATTCTTTTCAAGGCATTCAAGACTTCATAAGCCATTTTTACGGTAGGAACAACTGCTTTCACATTAAGAATATTTCAACATCAAATCTTAAAATTAGAGGCAGATTGAAGCATTAGTTACTACTTGAAAATATAAGGGGTATATTGCTAGAATTTCTATGTCCCCCTGGTTTATAGGCTAAAATCTCAGTAACATTTTCTGATTGTGTTGTTGCCATTGTTATATGCTGTAAAGTCAGGACCAGTTCATAGCTGATCCTCCAGTGGGTTTTCAGAGGCTGTAAATCATACTGGAGGAGATATCCTATCTTTATTCTGCAGAGCAGCTTGTAGATTGAAACTGCCAGCATTTGGGTTGACAGTGCAACAAATCAGAAAACTTCTTGTTAAATCCAAGTAAAATGAAGTTGTTGACAATTTCAGCCTTTTCTCCGTCTAGCATGATGTTGCACATTGGTTCAGGGGTGACGAGCTTTGTTTTCTTGATGTTGAGATACAATATATTGAAGGCTGTTGTTTTTGATCTCCTGCAGCATTTCAAGTCCTTCTCATTCTCAGCAAGCAATATTGTGTCGTCTGCATAATGTAGGTTATCCATTTGTTATGCTACATTCTTCAGAAAGTCCAGCTTTTCAAAATATTGAGCTAGCTTGTTTCATTTCTCAGAGCACATGCTCCATGAGGATAGGAATTTTTATGTATTTTATTCTTTACTTCCTAACTTAGTCTCACATACTTCAGACCAGTTAAGACCTAGGAAAGATGGAGGATCAGAGAAAGAGAGGAAGACTCAACAAGGTAGATTGACACAGTAACTGTAGCAATGAGCTCAAGCTTATAAGACATCTTGAGTGTGGTACAGGATAGGGGATGGTGCAGATCTTGTTCATACGGTGGTTCTGAGTCACAGTCAACTTGCTGGCACCTAACAAAACAACACATTTTCAGTGCCTATAACAGCGAGTACTTTAATATTTATGGAGAGAGGAAAGGTAGGAATAAACTAGGTGACCTGTTCAGGGTACTGTACCATTTAATCTTTTCCTGTTTTAGTCCCTAAATAGAGCACAAGAATCAAGGAAAACAGTGAACCACTTTCTTTCCAGCCTCACTTCCTGTTTCACCTCCTCAGTGAGTCTAATAGGAGTATAAAGCTACAATCAGATCAGCTTTTCTGATTAGAATGGGCACTTCTGAAAACTGTGAGCTCTAGTGGCCTAGTTGGTGGGGAATTGCACTGATATCCCAAAAGCAGTGCCTCTCTGGTAGTTGGAATTCACCAGCTGCTCCTCCTGTGATTTACAGCCTTGGAAAACCCACAGGAGGGTCAACTATGAGTTGATTCCAACTCAACATCAGTAGTGACTATTATGCTTGGAAAAGTGGAGGGTCTGCAAGGTAGAGGAAGATCCTTAATCGGCTTGGAACAGGATGGGCCTGTGTTTTGATCTCTTGTACATATAGGTTCACTATGAGGGCCGACTCAGCAGCTCCTAACAACAAAAACACACAGACTGAATTATGTGGAATACAAAAGAATCCAATCTACTGCATCTCTGAAAAGAGAGGTTAAAAAAACCTTGATATCATCAATCAAAAACAAGTCTAGGGGTCAACTGTGGACCCTGTTACTCATGCAAATTTGTGGTAGAGTTGAAGAAAATTAAAACAAGCCCACAAGAGCCAAAATATGACGTTGAGTGTGGCCCATCTGACTTTATGGATCATCTCAAGACTATATTTGATGCATTGAGAACACTAATGGCCAAAGACTAGACAAGATGTAACATGAAGGACATCATACAGAATGAAAGTAAAAAGGCAGGAAAGAAATGACTGAAATGGATGTCAGAAGAGACTCTGAAAAAAAAAGACTCTGAAACTTGCTCTAGAAAATAGAGACACTAAAGTGAGTGGAAAAAAAATGGTGACATGCATAGCTGGAGAAAACAAAATGAAGTAATGAAATGTGCGAAGACCTGGAGTGGGGAAACGAAAAGGGAAAACTATGCTCAGCATTTCTAAAACGAAAAGAAGTGGAGGAAGAAACTCAAGCTTCTAGTTGCAATACTGAAGGTTTCTGTAGAAAAATACTGAATAGAACAAGAAGCTGCAAAAGTATATGGGGGTTTGGGGAGAGATGATAGAAACAATGCAGAGCCACTGTACTGAAAAGAATTGTTGCTGTGTTGTTGTTGATAGGTCTCACCAAGTTAAGTACAAGAGAGTTAAGAGACCCTATAAACAACAGATCTATCCTGTGCCATCCTCACACTTCCTGACTCACTTTTTTTTTTAAGTCACTGTGTAAATCCACCTGGTCAAGGGTCTTCCTCTCCTGCACCAACCCTCTACCCTTCCAAGCATCATGACCCTCTCCAAAGAATAGCCCCTCCTAGCAACATGCCTGAAGTATGTGAGGTGAAGCCTCCTCATCCTTGCCTTCAAATAGCAGTCCAGCTGCATTGTCTCCAACACATTTGTTTGTTCTTTAGGCCATCCATGGGATGTTCAGTGCTCTTCTCCAGCACCACAGCTCAAAGGCAACAATTCTTCTGTCATCCCTATTGTCCATCTCAGATGCACAAGTGATCTGAAAGACCATGGCTTGAATGAGACCCACCTTCGTCCTCAAAACTGCATCATTACTCCTCAATAATTTGGAGAGGTCCCTAACTGCAGACTTTCCCAGTACAGTACATCTCCATATATCCTGACTGCTGGTACTAAGGGTGTTAATTGTGGATCCAAGTAAGATGACAGTTTCAATCTCTTCTCCATCATTATGTTGCCTATTGGTACAGTGGTAAGGATCTTTGTTTTCTTGATATTGAGATGGAGTCCATATTGAAGGCTGCATTCCTTGTTCTTCAACAAGTGCTTCAAATCCTCACATTCAGTAAGCAAGGTTGTGTCATCTGCTTAATGCAGGTTATTGATGAGTCTCCCTCCATTCTTGATGGCACATTCCTCTTCATAGAGTCCAGCTACTCGAATAATTCGCTCAGCTTGCAGGTTGAGTAGGTATGGAGAGAGAATAAAACTCTCATGCATCCCTTCCTCATTTTCAACCATGCCATTTCCCTGGCTCTGTTAGCACAACAGTCACCTGGTCCAGGTATAAGTTTCGCATGAGTATAATTAAGTGCTCTGGGACTCCCATTCTTCTCAACATCAGCCACTACTTGTTATGACCCACACAGTTAAATGCCTTTGCATAGTCAATAAAGCACAAATAGACATTCTTCAGATATTATTTACTTTCAGCCAGTATCTGACATGCTGGTGTCCAGGATCTGACATCAACCATGTCAAGTTCTATAAATTCAATTTGAAGTTTCAAGCAATTCATTGTCAAGTTCTATCAATTCAATTTCATGTTCTATCAGGAAATCCAATGTTATGAGTGCTAAGATATTATCCATACTCAAAAGGACTATTATACAAATATATGCTTCCACCTCTAGAGCCAAAGAGGAAGAAATTGAAAATTTTTACCAAATCTTGGAGTCCAAAATTGACCAAACATGCAATCAAGATGCTTTAATAATTGGTGACCAAAATGCAAAAGTTGGAAACAGTGAAGAAGGAGTAGTAGTTGGAAAATATGGGCTTGTTGATAGAAATGCGGCTGGAAATAGCATGATCTAATTTTTGTATTTTCAATGCTTTATTCATTGCAAATACCTTTTTTAAAAGACAGAAACAATGACTATAGACATGGATCTCACGCGATGTGCTGCATAGGAATCAAATTGACTACATCTGTGGAAGAAATTGTTGGGAGAAGCTCAGTATCGGCAGTCAAACTAGGTCAGGGCAGACTTGAGTCAAACCATCAGTTACTCATGTGCAAGTTCAAATTGAGGCGAAAGAAAACTAATGTAAGTCCAAGAGAACCAAGATATGATCTTGAATCAATTCCATCTGAATTTGAAGATCACCTTAGGAATAGGTTTGAGGCGTTGAACACCAGTGATCAAAGAGCACATGAGTTGTGGGATGATGTCAAGGATATCATCCATGAAGAAAACAAGGTCATTACAAAAACAGGGAAAAAAACCTAAATGGATATCAGAAGACTCTAAATATTGCACTAGATCCTCAAGAAGCCAAAACATAGGGGAAACATGCCTAAGAGCAAGAGCCCAACAAAGGGCAAAGGGCAGCTCAAGAGGGCAAAGAAGTCTCATAAAGGAATGTGCAAAGAGAATGAAGAATTTAAAAGGGAGAAACATGGTCTACATTTCTCAAGCTGAGAGAACTGAAAAACAAATTTAAGCTTGAGTTGCAATATTGAAAAATGCTATGGGCAATATATTGAATGACCTAGAAAGCATCAAAAGAAAATGGAGAGAAATACACAGAATCACTGTACCAAAAAGAACTGATTAAACTGAAAAATTTCAAGAAGTACCATATGAACAGGA